CTGGTGCCGAAGGATCAGCCGAAGCTATGGTGAGATCCTTCGGCAGCTTAGTGAATAGACCCCTTAGACTTTCAGCATATGGATCATTTTCCTTTCAAGACATTAGTTTAAATGGTATGCTTTGTAGCTTCATTTATCCCATAATATCATCTAACCCAACATTTAATCTAACCCCTACTCCCCCCTCTCCTGCAGGATATGCTCAAATAAGAATTGTAAACACGTCTGTGTTTAATTTTTTGTAAATCCTTACCAAACACTTATTCTACTCCATTCTACTCCAGTCCAATGGTCCTGTAAGCAAATTTTTGTACAGAATGATTATACTCAGTTGGACTGTTGAATACCTCCTTTGGACAACCCAATGCATGAAAGATTTTTTTATATCAGGAAAAAAGTGAGACAACTGAGGAGGATAAAGGGACAGACGTATTTGGTTCCCAAAGAGGGTCAGTCCCTCCAACTGATGGACAGTTGAGAACTATATTCAAATACAAACATTTATCTAACTGTGCCAATACACTTTGTACCTGTAACCCATTCTAAGCAAATAATACAATACTGTACAACAGAAACCCTAAAATCTGCTGCTGTTACCTCCTACTTCCCAATGCGCTACTTCACCCCTGAAAATGATGTTAAAGGAATATGTGCCAACATGCCTAAATTGCCTAGTTTGTTTAACAATGAAGTCAAGTGGGTGTGTTGGGACTTATCAGTGCATAGTAAGGGGACACGGGTTAATTGTGAACTGTACAGATAGTGATAAAGGTGAAAGGCATACTACTCTGTAATAAGGGGGAATAACTATAGTTTTGATAGTTTTATCTTGGTTTGGCTCCTGCCAACAGCTTATGCTAAGAGCTGTAAGGCTGGGTTTCCACCCGCGTTTTTTAGTACGTTTTTTCGTTCAGTGAAACGCGCTTTCGACGCTCGTTTTTATACCTCCCTGGCGGTATGATTTTTTTTGTTTTCCCTTTATTTTCTCTATCTTTTTTTCGGGGTTTTTTTTTTATAACTTTCAAACATCCCGCCAGTTCCGCCCCCCTGCGACGCGGACGCTCGCAAGGGACGGAAGACGGCAGCGGCAGGAGGACACAGCGGGGATCTCGAACAAGGTAAGGCCTACGATGTATTCCCGAGTGTGGCTCGGGGTTACCGCTTTGTTTACCCCGAGCCACATTCGGGAATAACAATGGATATGCGCTGAAATACGCGCCAAAGAAGCTCCTGTACTTGTTTGGTCGTAGGGCGTTTTTCAGAGCGTTTCCACGGGCTGAAATACGCCCAGGTGGGAACCATGGCCATAGGAAATTATGGGATTTATGGGACTTCGATCAGCGCTGGAAAAAACGCCCAGGTGTGAACCCAGCCTAAGGGAAACAATGGTATAAGATTTTTCCCCTGCTGCAAAGGACTAAATAAGTCCCACTGCAACAAGGACTATCATCAATCATTTTTCCACATCCCAAATTCAACTTGAAACTCCATGATGAACTATAGCATAGTTACAGTCCATATGCCTGGCTACTAATCCACACCTAAAACCAAACAATCCTTACAGGAAAAAAGTAACAGGATGCACACTCTGTACTGTAATCAAGCAAATCTTACATCCATAACAACTTAACATTTCCATGAAAGAGATTCTTCTACTTTTAGAGCATATTTGTATCATTTGTGCAGAGCTCTTCATTATATTTTCTTATACTTGTTCTGAAGCGGATTCAATTGTAAATGAGTGATAGACATGTGATAGATAAACAGTGCTCGGAGCTAAAAAGCACAAGGAGAGTAAAAGGAAGGAAGGCAGAAAGAAAGGAAGGAAGCTGAACACAAGAATGTTGCATTATTTGTGATCTGTAAGGGTAACAATCTTGCAGCATAAACCTGAATACCCTATTTTTCTTTGTGCTTCAAATGTATTCATGCAGACTCTACAGGGTGCGCATGAAGTTTTGACTTTTAAGCAAAAATATACTTTATAATATGGTTAGAAAAATAATGATATACAGTAGACACCCTGCTCTGAATTCAGCAAACAGATAACCTATTCTATCATTTGTTATTCCCTACAGATCTGAGAATGTGTGAAGCATTCAGGTGAACTAATGTCCCTCTACTTGCCACCCTCATACGTAACTCAATGTTACAGGTAACTCTTTCAGGAGAAGCTTTACATCCGTACATGATCATTCATAATCAGACTGCAACACTGTAACAGGCAGCAGCAGGGGCTGATTTGTGAACACAGCCAAGAAATGCACAGGCACCAGGATTTACACACTGTCATCCCTGAACCAGTATCTGAGTCCAGGAAGTAGATGCTAACCCTGCATGATGCCTAAGAAAAGATGTCACAAAAAACATCAATATAATTTTCATGAAAACTAGTGGCATAACAATAGCCGTAGCAGCCCAGGCAGCTGCAATGGGACCTGTGGTTGGAAGGGGGCTCCAAAAGGTTGTTGAGGCAAATTAAACATATAACATGTGAAGACAATACAGTACTGTATCTTTAGGGGTTGAAGTGGTTGCAGTTGACGGCAACTCTAATCCCCTTTAAAGTCTACAGTGCAGAGACAGCTTCAGTAGCACAAGATGAGTCTTTGGAATCTTGGCATTGTTACTCACAGCTATGAGAGAGGTCATCAGGGGGGCCCCCATCACATTTTTGCTCTGGGGCCCCGTGATCTGTATATACAGTCCTGATGAAAACTATAACTTTTATCATGACAAAATTATTCTGATGGTAGGAATGTTCTCTGAGTTTTACCTCCCTCAATGATCACTCTGTTCAGTGTAGATTTGTGGCACTTCGTAGGGTAAGATGCAGCAGAATGTATACTATTTATGAGACTGTGATATATTTTTACACTGGTAGACATCCAACTTCTATCCAGTTACAGTTACGTCCCACTTGTATCCAGTGAGATCCACAGACCAATATGCCATCCAACTTCTATCCAGTTGGACATGTAGGCAGGGCTGGATTAACATGGGGCAGGTAGAGCTCCCGCGCCCTGCAAATAGGCCTAACCGGGCCAAGCTGACCGGGTCACAGAGTTGCGGCCGGACCGAGCTGACCTGGATCGCGGCCCTGCAGCCGCGACCCTCTATTCAGGCATATCAGAGGGCCCTCTGATGTGCCTAAGCAAAGAGCCGTGGCTGCAGTCGCCAGTCTCTCTGACCCCCCCTGGAGCCCGCACTGACCGCCTGGAGCCCGCACTGACAGCCTCAGAGCCCGCACTGACCTCCTGGAGCCCGCACTGACCTCCTGGAGTCCGCACTGACCGCCACTGTTCCAGTGTTATGCTCCCATGTCCTGTTCCCAATAGATTTTCAAAATCAATACATGTTCAACAGACATCTTGCAGAAAAAACACACAAAATCACAATTTCTGAGCCATACATAGACTAGCTAACAAAGTGCAGAACAGATCACATCATAGAGTTAGAAGATATTGTGAATGTCCTGTAGAAACATTGTTACAAAAAGAGTTACCATTAACAAGGTTTGGATAAGTAGGACACCAGATGACAGGCGAAGGGGAAAGGATGGACAACGTTTCAGGCAGCAGGTCCCTTTTATCTAGCCGAATCCCACCTGTGGGGTTGCATCCATACAATACAAGCTTAAATACAATCCAAACTGGAGCCAAAATCTAAGCCAGGACTCTTTCCTCACGGTCAGCATCGAAACATTGTCCATCCTTTTACCTCCACCTGTCACCTGTATACTGCTTATCTAAACATTGAGCATGGTAGCTCGTTGGATAATTGTTCTACAGGAAGTTCACAATATCTGTTAACTGTATGATGCAATTTGTACTGCACTTTGTCCGTTAGCTGTGTTGTCTAGTATGCTAGTATGTATAGTTCAGTCAATTTTAATTTGTTTATTTTTTGTGCAAGATGTATTTTGAACTTTATAGATGTTGAAAATATTTCACATGGGGAGCATGCTGTTCCCTCCAAAGACAAAGAACATATTCACTTTAAGCCATAAGGAAGAATTTTGTGTGTGCTAAAAATGAATGAGACTCGTTTTTGTGTGTTAAAATGTTTTGTGGGGCTATCAATAGTTTTTCTCGAAGCCTTGATTGCCCTCCAAACTGCAATGCAGGCCAAGAGGATAGCAGAACTAAGTCAGGAGGGTTATGTGTTGGGCATCACTGCCAAACACTTAAAGGAGAACTATGAGGTGAGTGCTTTTCACTCACCTCATAGTTCTAGCCAACCTGTGACAATGAAACTGTCACAGGTCAGCTCAGTAGATCGGGAGGTGAGCGAACACATACCGGCGTTCGATCACCTCTCGATCCTGTCACGGCTCTCTGCCGTGACAGGGGAGGGGCTGGATTCCCCCCTCCCCGCTCCGATCCGCCAGTGCTGACTGGCGGAACGGACGGGGAGGGGGCGGGTACAGCTGGCTCTGCCTCTAGATAGCTGTCAGTCACGCAGCTCCAGATTGTCGGGATCCGCTTCAGCTGCGGTGTCTTAGTATATCGCGAGCAGTAGCTCGCGGTATACTTAGGGTTGCCACCGGTCCCGGATTCACCTGGACAGTCCGGGTTTTGAGTCCTGTATGTGCTGTGTCTGTGTTTCACCCGGAAACATCACTTGCAGGACTCAAAACACGGACTGTCCAGCTGAATCCGGGACAGATGGCAACCCTAGGTATACTGCGGCGTCTCAGTATACCGCGAGCTACAGCTCGCAGTATACTGAGCCTAGGGTGACCGGAGGACGCTAGTTTGTGTCCTCCCGTTACCCTAAGGAGAACTATGGGGAAAAGCCTTAACCTCATAGTTCTCCTTTAAACACAAATATATGCACAATTGTTTCCAGGCATGGCACCTCAGAACAAGCAGGGCCTGGTATTCCTTGTACTTCCACAACCTTCAGAGCGCAAGAAGCTGCCTGCTCTGCTTTATGCCAGTAAAGAGTTACTCAAACTGAAGAAATTATTTTATTTTAAACCTCAAGTAGAAGATTACCTGCCGCTGTCTGCATGTATCCTGCGAGCGTACACAGCCGTCTTTCACACAAGCCGCTGGGAAGAAACAAGGTCACGATGGCTAGCAGACAGCTCATAACCAGGAGAGCACACCCTCCAGAACACAGCACGGCACTTGTCTGGAATTACAGAGAAAAAAAATGGCTTCGTCAGTTAATTATACACAAAGGCTTAAACACAACAGGGAGCATATGTCAAGTTATACTTTAAAGGTAGACTATCATCACAGTGTTGTACCTACAATATGTATTGCAATGTATAGCCTAAACCATTTATGGGCAACATGCAGCTCTACAGCTGTCAAAGAACTGTAAGTCTCACCATGCTTGCCAACCTGCTCCCGAGAGGATACCGAGCCAAACCGAACCAGAAAAGGTAAGGGGATGTTGTGTCTAAAGTACATTTACCATGGTGTGCCCAAACCTTTGATTTGCAGTTAGCAACATGTGGTAAGAGCATCTTCTAGGCTATATAGAGGTGAGTGAAATATGCAAACAGTACTTATATTCAGCCGCCCACCGTGCAAATGATTTCTCCTTAATGGGAGTACCCTTTAAATGGCAATAACACAAGGTCTGGTAATTCCCCATCTGTGTCTCTCGGTAGGAAACAATATTCACGTTTCATCCAACTTCCATCTGTTCATAGAGAGTTCCCTTAACCATTTTTAACACTTTGGTTTGCAAAAGGGAATGTTACATTCTCGACACAGTTTAGGTTAAATGGTTAGGACATGGCAGGCTGCACCAAACTGTGTAGGATAATTTTGTATGCACTATTTTCTCTGTTCAACAAACTTGGACAACTGCAATGAATTTAACATTGCTTTGGAAATTAAAACAGACCGATTGTCATATAAGAAACCATCATAACAGATAACCAAAGCCATAAAACACCTACACTGTAAAACCTTCTGCTCTTGTATCCCATGGTGATAGGTTATTGAAATGCCTGCACATCTGATCACATGCTCTTTAGGGAATGGCAGGGTTAGAGTTAAGAATGTCTAATCCTCCCCTTTGCCCAAAATCACATGATCAAATGCTTAAGAAAATGGAAAACAACCCATACCATGGTATGATAAAAATACACAATATCTAACATTTCTGAGCAAACTTAGAAATATCCACATATCAACCTATAAGGTCCAACTCTGATATGAAGGGAACACCCTGATAGAATGGGGGGAATTGATTCAAAAGAGGGAGGAACTCTGATGTGAAGGGGGCTCTTGGTGTTAAGGGGGGCTCTGATGTGAAGGGGTACCTCAGATGTGAAGGGGGGCCTCTAATGCGATGGAGGCTCCTGATGTAAAGGGAGGGCTCTGATGAGAAAGGGGGGACTCTGATGTGAAGGGAGGACTCTAAAAAGAATAGGTAGGCGGGCTCTGGTGTGAATGTGGAACTCCAATGTGAAGGGGGTCCTGATGTGAAAGAGCACCTCTGATCTGAAGGAGGGGCTCTTATGTGATGGGAGCTCAAGATGTGAAAGGGGGAACTATGACATGAAAGGGGGCTTCTTATATGAAGGGGGGGAGGCTCTGATGTGAAAGGGAGGGACTCATATGTGAAGAGGAGGCTTCTGTTGTGAAGGGGGTTCCTGATGTGAAAGAAGAGACTCTGATGTGAACGGGAGGTTTCTGATCTGATGTAAAGAGGGTTCCTAATGTGAAGGACGGGGCTCTAATGTGCTTCTCTCCTGCACATTCTATCCACAATTAAACCCGACCTGCTTCTCTCCTGCACATACTGCCCCCTCATACCTTCCTCACACCTCTCCTGCACATACCGTCCCTCTCATAACTTCCACACTTCTCTTCCAAACATACTGACCTCTCATAGCCTACACACTCCTCTGCTGCACATACGTCCCCTCTCATACCACCTGCACTCATCTCCTGCACATACTGCCCCTCTCATACCCTCTGCACTCCTTTCCTGCATATACTGCCCTTCTCATACCCTCTGTACTTCTCTCTTGCACACACTGCCCCCTTTAACAGCCTACACATTTCTCTCCTGCACATACTGCCCCTCTCATACCCTCTGCACTCCTCTTCTGCACATACTGCCTCTCTCATACCTCTGCACTCCTCTCCAGTACATACTGCCCATTAAAACACTTCTTAGCCACTGTTTGTATAATCTTTGTCACTTTTGCTAGTATTTCTAAATGAAGAGTTAAAAATAATCAGCCTAGTTGAACTAATATGAAGATTGGTGAGAGTGTGAGAGTGGGCATTAAAATATGGTAGAGGTTTACAAACTTGCACCGCTGTAGGTGGTAAAGACCACTTTTATATGTCATGTGCAGTTTTATGTGTATTCGAGAACTGTTAAATAAATATTTGTGAATGCTAAACATGTTTTCTTATTCTGGATCTATTTTCCATTTAATGATGCTTTAAACCACATGCTTAGTCTGCATGTGGCAATGGTGGAACAGAAACACAATGCACAGTGAAAAAACAAATTACAGAGAATCATCTCTGCTCCCATGAGAATAACAGCTGGCTCTTCCTTCCCATTTGAACTAAAATCCAGAGAACAGCAAATGTGATGATATCAGGATGATACCAAATTGGTTTTCTTATACAACTGAGCCAGCAGGAAGCCTTGGAAATGTCTAAACAACTTGACCCACACTGTTCACTGGCAGGTAATATCGACTGAGATTATTGCACTGAAAGGATCAGGAGTTTCTACAGTAACACATCAATGATTCAAGAATAATAATATATATTAATTATAATACAATGCACAAATAATAAAGCTATTAAAAATAATAATATACATTTGTTGGAAAGCAATATAAACAAAGTATTTGACTTGTTTAAATTGTATATACTGTATAGCCAAAACCCATTTTGTACATTTTGGGTAGAGTACTGAAGGGTAAAAACCCATCAAGTTATTATTAGAATTTTTTTGCCTGTCTGTGTTCCATTAGTGAGATTTCTTGTCACCTTTTGTACATGCAACAGGATATGAGAAGAACTCCCCCTAAAGTGAAAGACTCTTCTTATGCAGTTGTTTCTGGAATAGTTGGATAATAGAGTGGTGAAAACTTGGCATTGGGTGTTATCCCTTCCCATTCTAGCTATCCAAAGCTAAAACAAAAGTTGTTTTTTTAAATATACTATATACTCATGCTCCCAAGAACTTATGTAAAGAACAATGTTGTAAAGTCAGCCACTGAAGGCAAATTTCAGGTTAATTCAGCTTTTGACAAATTAATATTTAATTCAGGAGCCAGTCTGTCTGATTGAGGAGCCAGCAGGGCTTTTTAGGAACCAGCTCTATTGACAACAACTAGAAAAATCTTCAAATGTTAGGTTCCAGCTGTTATTTTTAGGGAGCATTCGCTACCTGGCTCCTGGGATTTGTTCAGCCCTGACTTGAAGGGTAAATTCACATTCCCAAGTGAATTTGGGAAAATTGAATTACCCCCTCCAATCTGGACCCCTCTCCCCCCGCCCCCGCTATACTTATCTTTCGGCAAATGCTCCTTTCCCTCTGCTGGTACAGGTGTAATATTCGTACCTTATACTGCTGTGTAGGGCAACTCTGCACTATGGATTTTGAATTTCAGGGAGCATGAGGGGAGGGTATGCACACATTTTTGAACACTATATTGATCATGACATGTGCATGACACTCCACATGGAAATTTGGAATTTCCATAGGTATAGTGTGAGGCATTGTACAGGAACCATAAAGGAGTTCTTGGGCTGAAATACGACTTTAATATGAAGAGTCATGAAATTAGTAAAGCACTGCTTCAGAGTTAATTGATTTTATCTTTTTTTAATTTATTGTTTTCTAAGGGTGTATGGGAAGGTCAGCGCTTAGTTAATATGTAAATCTGACAAAACCAATATATACCGAATCTTCAGCATACCCTGGGGGAGCGCTGAACATAAAAACAGCGTTATTTACATAAGGATGCTGTAAATTCCCTTGTGGCCAAGCAGAATTCAACTTGAATATTTTATTGAGAAATGGAAAAAAAAAAAATTGCTTTATTAATTTTTTTTGGCTAATGCCCTATTTTATGTCTTGGTCTACTAAAATTTCAGTTCAGGCGTTGATACCTGATTTATACTGAGCATGCCCAGTCACAGAGCGGACATATTGTGCTTGTGTGTTGTTAAGTGTTTAGCACTTCCAAGGAAAGACTACTTGAGAATCTATGAAGAGGAACACTACCGGGAACTTTATTATACAATGTTTCAATTTGGCATCAATATTCATTATGTACCCCAAAGCATGTTAGTATGTTTAAAGTACCTGCTAACATCTGTACATGTATTGATGGTAGCTTTGGTGTATACATATTTTTTAAGAGATGCCTTATGCCTTTACTGTATATATTGAAAGCATACAGTATGTACTGAAGCCTTATGTTGATTTTATGGCAACTTCCTGTATTGAAAATGAGGGACACCTCTAAGTAGAAGAAACATGGGGCATGAGTAATGCAAATAATGATTGGTTAAAGCCCAAGCACAGTTGGCGGGCTGCATTTCACAAGATGATTAATAACCAATAGAAATCGGTGGAGGTATGAAGACGTGCCCCAACAAGAACGTATTTTTTCCTGCTCAGACAACAGCTTTAAACCGGTAATTGCATTATTCACCACATTTTCTTTATACTGGCTTTTGACATAACACATACAATAATATACAGGTTGGATGAAAGGTTTAGTAAAACACTTTTAGTAGTTAAAAACCAAAAAGAGGGACATATGAGTAAGACAACAGGACAGAGAAGTTGGATTACAAAGCCGGGCCACTCTCCAAAAGGCCTTTCTCACAAAGCGTTTCTTGAAGACATAGGAAAGCTTCATTGGCACCCAGAACGCACATACTAAACAACAGTTATATAAATGTTTTAAATCGATCACGTGGTGCTTAGAGAGACTCTGCAATAGAGGCTCACCTATTTTTTAACTAAAACGTTGCCGCTTTTTTGGTGGTCTTCCATTAGAAGATGCCAGTACACTGCCAGCGCATCCACCATGCCCTATACACTTAAGGAGTGCTGCTGGGTTTCTTTTGTACTGAAGGATTTTATCATCTAACCATAGTTCTAAACTGGACAGTATAATGCTTCAC